CTGGCCTTACGTAAGTTGCGAACGAAAGAGGCGAAACAAGGACGGGCCGGGCGAGGTGGAAGAAAGGGAGGATGGAAGAGAGAGAAAAAGGGGCATCGCGCAGACTTCGAAGAGAAGGAGCCCGGGGGCTGTCTGGAATCTTCTCAAAATGATTCACAGCCTCCGGTAATTTACATTCGCTTGCGTGGGTGATCGTCGGCGGTACGGGGTTCGAGAGGGGACCGGTGGGGGTGAGTGGCCGCTGGCCATATACTCCTCCTCTCTTTGCCGACTGCCATCGAAAAGGTTAAACATACACCCACAAGAGGTCACGTAACCGGCCAGGAGAAAGACCGAGAGCTCGCGAGAGCTACCTTCCTTCCTTTCCTTTCCACGCGGTGGCACACAACCTGCAAGACCGTTCGTAACGAAGGGGCAAATTATGATAATCTAAGCGTACGCGGTCGCTTCAATTTGTTCGTGTCATTGGAAATTAGACTGCAATCGCTTGTACTAAACAGAAGCTGGGGACTGTCATTGCACGAATTGTTCCGTTTAGTACAGAGGAAATTGAATTTGCTTAAAATGCAAACCGCTGCGTGTCATCTATGATACTATATAGAATATCAAATGCTAAATGCGTATTTTAAGATTTAAATGATATTTACTACAATATGTAAAAATCTTGAAATAGAGAGTTGAATTAAAGATTATTTTTAATGTTCATTTCATGGTTTGGACTGAAAGGGAAGAGGGATTAAAATTTCTTCAGAGACTGACAAGCTTTTTTTCTAATCCTCTTGATAACTCCACTTTCGTATCCACCGATAGAGCCCACGTCGACCGTCAGATAACACGTTAATTTGAATGCCACTATTTTCTTAGTCCGATAAAAAAACATGGATAGTCCGATCTCCGTATATACTGATCATCGTTACACGGCAAATAGAAAGGGAAACGTCAATTGGTGTTTAGGTATATCCTCGAGACTGCAATTAGCCGCGAGAATAAAATTAGTTATGTACACAAGCCTCCGAGACGTTCTTCCGTTCGATAACAAAAGAGTCCACCGCAATGCCGACGAGAGACACGAGTACAATAACTGGAACAACAATGTCGAAATTACGAAGTAACATTTCTCCAGACGAACGTAACAAGTTTTGTAATTCATGTAAAATCATCGCCGCGTTTCATGTAAATTCATACGCATGCGTTTAATTCCGCATTCATTCATTTGATTTGCAATTCACATTGGAAATATTGTTGTTTCAAACCGATGATAAGTAGGGATTGCATTGCATTCAGTTGCGACACGAGAATCGAATCAAATATCGGTACCAGTGGGCTGCATCGAAGCGTGTCGCTTTAGCGTCGGCGTTCTCAATCCGATGGACAATACACCCACCGGTTCACGGATTCTCCGAGCATTTACATACCGACAACGTGCACGTGCGCGCGTAGCGATCCATGTTCGATTTAATTGTACCAGCGTTATGGTTTCTATCGTGGTACCTGTGTTAATGAAACACGGCGAATGTAAAGGACAGATGGAGTGGCAGGAGACAGCATGAAACGAGAGACAAAAACAGAAAGGAGAGAGCCAAGGAGGAGAGAGACGGAGACGCCAGGGCTCTTGCCTTGGGCACGACACGACCCGTTTCAAAGACACGTAGGGCCAAACCAGAGGGCAAAGGGGAGGGAGACAGAGAAAGAGAGAGAGAGAGACTTTTCTCCCTAAAATATGTGGACCCACGGGCAACACTCGGACTCTCCTCGTTACATCCCGCTGGACGCCCGGGGCAGTGCGCTCCGCCATGCCGGCAGTCTGTATATCGTATGATACAAAAACATCACATTTTCTTCCTTCTTCATCGCGTACCGGCGTCTCTTTTCTTGCTCTTCTCCGTGGACGAACGCCCCGGGGCATGTGACCACCATTACGCCTACCTCGTCGTCCTCCACCGCATCCTCCCACTTCTTCTACGCTTGCACACGGTTTTATCCCACCTTTCCATCTCTTCCTCATTCGTATCGAACAATTCGGCATAAAGATTAATTACGTTATAAAAAATATTTGTCGATTTATATAGATATTAATAAGAATGATTACTCGGTTCTTGAGCAACGGCATTAAAGCGAAGTGCTATCTTCATCTCGAATAGCTAATGCAACAGTGTATTGTAAATTATCTTAGATTATAACCGACATCACGCTTGATCGTGAGCAGTGCCATTTAATAAAGCTCTATATAAAAATAGTTGAACATTCTGTGATTATACGGTTTAATTAATGCACGATGGCCGGTGGTCGTAAAGACAAGATTTAATGACTCTGGAACGTCCTTTGCATTAACCAGCGAGTTTTTCAGCGTGGCAATCCGGACAGGACAAATGAATACTGTGCGTACGAGCATCAATCTATCTAGTCGGGGAAAAAGCATGGGTAGATGGCTAATAAATCGCCGTGGGTGCACGTGATTCCGTAAAACTAGCGGTAAACGGTATTCGTTTTGGTCCATTAGAAAGATAACCCGGCGAGTGAAAGCAGTCGATGCGATCGAGTCGTGCACGCGTGTCTCTCCTCCTCTAATCTCCGTTGAAATCTATCGCGTAGCCACCTAGGTACCGGTGCCGATCGAACGGATCGATCGAACGATCGATCACCATAGGACGTAGACGGTAGTTGACTATTCAGGATACGTTCTATTCACACTAGAAAAGAAAGACCGTACAATATTATCCGACAGAATCTTGTTGATGCCATTTGTATGTTTTTATAGATAAGATATAATCAATCAGCGATTCTCGTATATGAATGCCTGAACGATTCCTGATATTAAATGTGTCCGTGCGAGACGTGTTGAATCTACTTGGAAATAAAGAGCTATTTTTACACCGTCCTCCGTGAAATAATTGTCTGTGATTTGAAAACGAACACTTTGGCAAAACCTAAACTATTCTAATCAGTGGATTGGAACTATCCATGACCTACTGCATGATTTATTTAATGATTTAATAGAATATTTTAATTGACGGTTACTGGTTTGGAGTATTTGTCAGATTTTTTGACACACCATGAAGACTCGGTGTCCTAAGATTTATGCACAGGAGTGTACGTGTACATGTATAAATGCACACAAGCGTCACTTTGTCCCTGACGAAGTTAGCGTTTACGTATGCGAGCAGCATCGTCCGGTGGGTTTGGAAGCGCCCGAGGCATTCTGGAACGATGTTGTCGGCCGTGGCCGTTTTAGCCGCGGGGCAGCCTCGAATACGACAGACACCGGAGAGCTGAGCCGAGTCGAGCCGAGCCTCGGTTCCCTTTATATCGGCCCTCGCCAACTGCCCCATTATTCTCGATGGCCGATGGCCAATCGTATCGGCTAAGTACCAACTGTAACTTTACGAGGACGAGGTCCCGCTTGGAAAAGCTCCAGCTGCCCGGAATCGCTCTTAAAACCCTCCACGCCGATTATTTGTCTTCCACCGTGGATGATCTTCGAGGTGTGTCGCGGAATTTTCAAGCCACATCAAGTCTGAAAGCCTCAACACTATATCAGTATCATATTATAACGTGTTTCAAGAATAGAAGATATTCCATGTTTTAAATTGATGATACGAAAAGTTTATTAAAAATCAGCAATCCACTAGCAAGACAAATTTTTACATAATGTATAAAGAGTATCTGGAAAAGAGTTTAAGTAGAGTTGCTGAAGTGAAAGACGTTTAATAAGCAGGAACACTGTTGCCCTGAAAAATATCAGAATGCCCGAAGGCTGGGCCACCGTTTTGGTATAAATCTCGCGGGACAACTTATTCTTGGAGTAATTTCAATCGTACAATCACCGGTTTACCCTTATTGGCACCGATCGCTCCCAAAACGCGACAGTATCGGCCGGCACTCCGGGTAATGACGGACGCCGAGTGCTTCTTGCCGGATAATTTATATAGCGTGCAATTACCGCGAGTCTTCTGGACCGAGCTAAAAGGGTAAATGAACGAGGCGCCGGGGCATCGCGTGCATACTAAATATCTCATTAGTTAACTCAAAGGTGAATTCGCAAATGATTGTTATTACAATATCGTTAAGTGCTGGCAGTGGTACGAAACGGACGTATAGACAGCGCGATTTATCTGATTACAGATCATTTTAGTTCACCGGAATTACCCAGTTGGGAAAAATCTGACATCGAGGTTACGACTTTCTGAAAACTTGAAAATTCATGAATCATTTCTCTTGGAAACATTGTAAATCTGAGGAACTAAAGCGTATCTTGGACGCTAATCAGAAGACGAGATATAAAATGAGGAAGACGATGACGAACGCGATAATCTAAATTAAAGAAGCTAGACATCGGTTTAAGAGATTAAAGCCGGGAGCTACTTACCCCGCGGGGTGAAGTTGTGTCGTTGATTAAATCCCGACAAAGTTGCTATACACACTTTTATACACGCTTGGTTGGAAGCAAATAGAGTTTTAAATGACTCGTTGAATCGTATAACGATTTTGCAGAAGGATCAAACCTGAGGCTCTAATTAAAAACGAATTGAAATCAAAGCCAAAGTACATAAAACAGGAGTAATAAACGTGAATACCGAGTTGACCAGAGTCCATTCGGCGGAAAGAATTGCATTTGACATACGCCGGAGGGAGAAAGGGCACCCCTTGGGAGTGACGCTGACAGAGAGGATCAATCATTAAAATCGAAATATATGAATTAAAATCAAAGTCAAAGTAAGAGAAAGCCGAATTAATGAACGAATAAACGAGTATCGAGTTGACCCGAGGCCGTTCGAGGGAAAGGGTTGCAGCCAATTGACATACGTCGGGAGGGGGAGAGGGTGACCTCGAGGGTGAAGAGGATTGCGAAGCTCAGGGCGCTTACCAAAACGCCGCGAGCAGCGAAGCCGGAGCGCGAGAAAGCGGCATTGGAAGGTAGGGGAGAAGGACGACGTAGAGGCAGCCGGGTGGGGTTAGCCAACGGTGGTAGTGATGCTGGTGGTGGAAGTAGCGCCGAACACCGCCGTGACACCGGCGAAAGACACTTCAGTCCCATTAAAGCCTCGGTGGTGCGCGGCTCGCGCTCGTTTCAACCCTCGCCAGCAGACACGTGAAACGTGACCACGTGGATCTGTGCGTGACACACGCGCGGAGGCGGAGCTTTTCCCGCGCGAAAGCTCTCCACGGTGATTCGCAGCCAGTGTTCTGTTGTTTCCCTCGGCGAGCAGTTGCCGGATTTTCTTTTGTTCCTTTCGAACCGCCGCCGTGGACACGAAAACAACCGTCAACCTGGAGCCCACGTGCCAGAAACGGTGAGCGTATTTAATATTTCTTTTCATGATTTTTATTAATCGCATAAAACTGTGGAAGTGGAATTAGTCCTCAGTAAAACTGGATACAAGATTTATGATTGCTCATTCTTTCTTTTATAATCAATAATCAATTGTTTTCAGTAATGAATGCACAGAATTCATTCAGTCTGCACTTAATAAGTATTCTAAAATATTTCATCTACGATGTGCTTCTTACTTCTACGATGTTAGAATGTGAAACGATTACGTATCGATGCAAATACGAAAGCAAAGAGGCAATCGCTTACTCACGATTTATCTGTTCAGTCGTTTTACTTTCGCGCTACTCGCACAGCACTTAACCGTTCAGTGAACAATTTATCGTGTGCCTAGGCATAGTTCAACAGATAACGCCTCTCTCCTCATTAGCCACCAGTTTATTGCACGCTTAACGAGATTAAACGTGTCCTTAGCAAAATTTTATGCCACTCGTAACTTTCACCAATGAAGATCGTAACACAAA